GAAAGAGTAGGGGATGGCATACTGTTGGACGGCAGGAATGGGGTTGCCTTGGAAGTTTCGTAGAACTGGCATGAGCTTCACGACTTCTGATTCAATTAGTTCGTTGTGCGAATTGATCTTTTGTGGACCGATCCCTCTGCGAAACATCTTGCGTTGATTGGCATGATGACTGGTTGGTTGGACGAATGCCAACATCCAATCCCATCCTAGCCTGAGAGCAAAGTGTCAATTATCAATATTTGAAATGATGAGAATAGGATTTGAAGGGCGCTCATTAATGCTGCTATATCCTTTGACGCAGAAACTTCTTGCCCTTTGGGCGACGGATATTTCTACGAAATATTTACTTACAAGCGACGCACGAGGTATCCAATTCCACGTCCAGCTGTAGAATTGGGCCGTTTGCCGAGTAATTCCTGAGCGACGTCGGGAGAACTCAGAATCAAATGCCCAGATCCTGGGAGAGGGGCGTAGACCATATCGCCTGGACCCAATGTCAATGTTTACTGCTTCATCGATTCCGGATATGAGAACATACCATACAACTTGGCCCATTCACTAAAACGATGGTAGAAATGATCGCCGGGAAAAGACCGAAATGCCCCAATGAGGGGTTGTCGAGGAGGACCAGGAGGGTAAGGCTGGTATTTCTTCTTGTTGAGGACTCCTCTAATCGTAAAGTAGCCAAGTGAGGCGACTGCGAGCGAGATTGTACATGTTTCCACAGGAGAATCGAGGGCGCGGGTGACTATGTCGTCCATAGTAGACTATAAACAACCTTTTTTGAACAGGTAAGAACTTGAATGCTGATTTTTGTTACTGATACTACTCACCCACTACATCCAAGTCTTTTAAGTCCTCAGCAAAGGTCGAGAATCAACCTCTTTGCAGCAGTTTTACGTACAGACGGCATAATTACCTTATCCCGTCCGACCCGGCGGTGTTGGGTTGAAGCGAGGAGAGGGCAGCGGTACCGTAATCGGCCTCGCCAATCTAGACCAGATCGAACACCCATCGACCTCGAATGGACTCCGGGCAAGTCCGTGTCGAAATAACCAATTCCTCATTGGTCGGCGACTTTTCGAGTCTAAAAGTTCGAGGCGCTCTCGACTGCCTGATTCGCAAGCCTCGGCACGAAAAGAAGATTGGGCGGACAGGATTCGAGGTTTTCCATGCAGAATAGAAGGCTTTTGTCCCTTTTCCACGACCAGCGCGTGATACGTAGCCGCAGAATAGTTATAGGGGAAAAGGGTACGGATACGGAGAGGCGAAAATTTACGAGCGTGACTAAAGTGCGTCCGGGTCGGTTTGAGCGAGAAAGTTCTAGTTTCCGAAAACCGTATTGGCGAGGCTTAGAGTTTCATCTTCGAGGTTCATTGGAAGAAAAGATGGTAAATTCACAAGAGAGAGATGCTAAATAGGTGCTTGGCCATTGATCGAGGAGTAGCGAACAGGTCGAAAAAGGGATACCCCATTCAACGCCGACCACCACAAGCGATGTGGTCGCACTGTGATCAAATGGCACAATCCTTGTTATATAGTTATCCTTGGGATTTTCTCTGATATTCTGCGATGAGTGTTGAGGTCTCTCAGGAAGCAAGCACCATTCCAATAAAGCTCGGCTCAGTTTAAACATGCAATCTCGGTTTTACTCACACCGGCGACCTTATAGAAAGACCCATTTGTAGTTCTATGTTCGTGGTATCAAAGAAAGGTCCATTTAGGTTATACTACGATAGGTCAAAGCCATTGACTGCCCATATTGTGACGAAAACCTAGCAATTTCCTCCACCGCCATACATCTCACTTGGGCAGAAATTGACTGCTTTCGTGTACCATCTAAAGCTATGTGGCTTTACCAACGAGTGAATTTTTGTTCTCCTTTCCATCACTAACCCTGGACTCACCACGTAGTAATCGTTAATCTCCTCTAGCACACCGAAATAGTATGGACCTTCCAACTTGTTGTTGGTATAGAACACGGTCGTGTTGAACAAGTACCCGCTATTCAAGTTGGGTTCTAGCTCTTCGAGAATGACATGGTAAGCCACCGAAGTATTGGATTGACCCCAAGTGAAGAATATCTTCTTCGTGGATGTCTTGAAGTAGGTGCCAGTGCAGAATTTGACTCGGAATGGCTGTGAACAGGAACAGTTTATGACGTCATTTATCCATTTTCAGTAACATGGATATTTGCAGCCACTCACCTCGCCAACTCGAACGTTTTCAGGAGCCTCAAAACCAAACTGCGCTGTTATAGTGCAATGCTGAGGTCAGCTAGCCTCTCAGCTAGCCGAAGGAAGCGATACTTACTAATGGTGCAACCATCAGAGGTCTGCCTTTCCACCAAGTCGCTCGCCGACGCGAGGACGATACTCGAACAGAGGAAGAGGAGCGAACGGAGCTTGAAAATCATGGTATATCTTGGATGTAGATACGAGGGATACCACTCAAGACGACCTTTTTGGAACCATTTCACCTCACCTTTACATGCTGGTTAGGAACCCATATGCACCGACGCTCGGCAGAAGCTCCTCAAAAGCTTTCACAGGTTTATGTGAGAACAGGTATACAAGAGGCCGGGGTGTGGGCTCCACGAAGCTTCTGCCGCCCCTTCCGAAGCTCGCCCTATATTAGGAGGATTGATGCGCTCGTTCCGGCCTCTATGCTGAATGGCCCACAAACTGAAACTTGACAACCTAAATATGGGGTGATGTAATTCATCATCTATCCCTCATGTGGGATTTACAGCATGCTTATATACCGACTTTGTGATCACGTTCGACTCTGCAAGCCCGCATAGATCTCACACTAGTACTCGGGTTGTCCTTTGCAGGCTTCTTGAGTGAGGCGGGAGCAATAGTTATAGATAGTACCTGC